GAAGCAGAGCTGGTCAGGGGAGATCGAGGTTGGGGGGGGACCGACGGGAGTGGGGCTGACCATGGGAGATCGGGAGGAGGAGAACCGGCCAGCAGGAAGTAGGGCTAGTGGGGGGCAGGGAGGGGTGGGACCGAGCAATGCCGGGTAACTCCAGCTAGTACAAAAGAAGGAAGAGATAGTTGTAGGAACACTAGCCAAGGACTTGGGTTAAAGTCCCTTCTTCTCCTCAGGCTTCTGTGACCGACGGGAGTGGGGCTGACCATGGGAGATCGGGAGGAGGAGAACCGGCCAGCAGGAAGTAGGGCTAGTGGGGGGCAGGGAGGGGTGGGACCGAGCAATGCCGGGTAACTCCAGCTAGTACAAAAGAAGGAAGAGATAGTTGTAGGAACACTAGCCAAGGACTTGGGTTAAAGTCCCTTCTTCTCCTCAGGCTTCTGTGTTAGCCTCTCTGGTTCATTTCTCCATCTGCGGAACGGGGATAATACTACTCCTCTGCCTCACAGGAGAGTTCTGAAGATAAATACATTAAAGATTGTGAGGTGCTCAGATATAGCACTGATGGAGACCATATAAATACTTCAGATATGTTATAGAATTTTTTCCTAGCCTTTTATTCTTGTAGAAAACATAGGAATTAGGGTACTACCAGAGGTATGGAATAGAGCTAGAGCTCTACTAGAAAACTGAACCATTTTTTTAAATGATTTTCAGCAAAATACGTTGACCTGGTATTGAAAATGATTTAAGACCATTCAGATAAGTCAAACCTCTTCAGAACCTATGTTACAATAATGCAGAGTAGAAATGTCCTTGTGAAACCTTATGTCTGCATTGCTTATACTCTGAAACTGAACTGTTGCAAACGAACAATATAGTGTATCAATACTAACCCATCTGGCTGGGCACAGTTCTCTCCTGCACTAGATGCACTGCTGTTTATGGGCACACTATTCTACAGGACCTTGAAGTGATACTTTGTGGGAAATTGTGCAAGGGATTAGGACCGTCTAAAGGAATTATGGGAGATGGGGGTCAGATCCTGTAACTTAGGGTACGTCTAGACTACATGCCTCTGGCAACAGAGGCATGTAGTCTAGACGTACTCTCACTGACAAACAGCAGTCTGTTTTGGCATCTTATCCCAAAACTGGGACTGCACTGGAGGTTAAGAGGATTTTCTGTTTGTTCGGAGAGCCAGATTTGTTCTTAAACAGCTGCAGATGCAGAGTTAATTGTCTTCAGAAGTTTGAAAGTGATGATGGTTCATACTTCTATAGAGCACCAGAGAGCCAGGACAGAATCCTTGGGTCTTTATTTTCCAGCTCCTGGGGATCTGCTCCAGCAGAATCCACTTTCCATAATAGTAACTGACTCTGGACCTTGTTTGAGATGGACCTGTACTGAACTTGCTGTTGGGGAGGAGGGGGTTCGGCAGAGGGCAAGCTATTTAATTTTATCTGTTGCATCGGGGGATGTGAGGAAAGGGTGCTGCAGTGTCTGTTCAAGTAACTGAGTTGAAGTAAGCGGGACTTCTTCCTTCACTTGTTTTTGTCTGTGTTTCTTAATAGTTGTGGCAGTACTAATGTAGATTTAGCACTAGGCCATGTAGAACAGCACAAATAATACAAAGCACTTCTAGGCCAGAGACATGTTCATCTGTCAGAAGCAGTGGTATACTGGATAGTCTGGGTTATCTGGGATTGCTTCTCACCATTGTTCAAGATCTGAATGACTTCCCCAGCATTTAGCTTTGGTCAGAAGCTAGTACAACTGTAGGAGAACTTCTGAGGAGAAATGAACCCAGATCCAAAAGCAAAAGGAATTCTAGAACACAGTGATCTTGAAGAAGATTCTGTTTTAGAAAGTACTTGCTGTGGGACATGAGGTACGTATGTTCCACTTTGTACGTAAGAGACTTCTTGAAGACTTGATCCCTAGGAATAAGTGGCCACAAAGTTCAGAAATTTGATCAAAAGAGCCACTAAAAAGTTACTCAATTGCTCTGCTTCAGCTATAGCTGCAGTACTGGCACTTCCTGTCCTTACCAGCATTATATACCCAGTGCAAGGGCATGTGGTGCTTGGGTGTATTCAGAACAGTTAAAACAGTAGCATTAACTCCTATCTGCTGTTGGGAGGAGTTTTGTGTGGGACACAAAGTGTGTTACAGATGTGTCGGGTGATCACAGTCCCCAAAATGCCATCAGGTAGATATTGCTGTTAAAGACTTTCTTCCAACCAAAATTCAGTCTTCTAGAGTTGATAGAGTTAAGGCTTTTTCTTTCTCTCCTTTTTTCAGTTCTTTGGGGACACTGATGATGAAGTAGAATATGGCAGTAGTTGAATGTAACTAAATTCCCTCTTCAGTCTGTCCTTTTCTTTCTCTCTTCAAATGGGCTGAATGTATACACTTGGCTCTTAGATTCTATAATAGGGAGAGGTTTGTAATATGCAACAATTTTCGCTAGAGTGGTTTCCCTCCCAATTTTAATATAAAAAGCAAAACCAATGGCTTTTCATGTCTTCAATGTATCTGTCATAATAGAAAACTAAAGTTCTAGCAGCTCAGCCATGAGTGAAGCATTCCTGAAAGCCACGGCTCTGCTGTCAGTTCCTGTTTTTAAAAATCAGCAG